TTGCGAATCTTGGTTACATAATCAGTTATAGGCCCACGAGAGGGGAAGCGAAGCATTCCTAGTATAATTATTCTGTTGAAATTTAAACCTAACTGACTGGACACGAAGACTTATTCAAAAAAACGTTTCATTAAATCTAGGAATCCTTTGCCCGATCGCACTCAAATCTTTGTGATGTAGGTGACCGCTTGGATTGCTTTCAATCCAGCAAACCATCTAAGAAGTATCCAGGCACTTTACAAAGTTCTCTAAAGGGCGTATTCTTAACCCTCGGACGTACATGTACACACATTCATAGCCCCACCGTGTGTTGGGGGGGGGGGGGGGGGGGGAGGGACCCCCCCCCGGAGCTTTTGTTTGGTGCAAGTTTTTAAAAAGTTTTTTCCTTCCGGGGGAAACCTTTGGTTTTTTAAAAAAAAAAAAGGTTTTTTTTTTGGGTGGGGGGGTGTGTAGAGGCTTGTGGCCTCACACTTAATGGTGCCCATTTTGGATTTTCAAAAAAGTAAAAAAACAGGTATGGCGTGCGCTGTGTGTTTTTTCAAAAAAAAAAAAACAATGAAAAAAATTCCCTCCCTTTCAAAACTTTTGTAGAGGGGGGTTTTTCTCCCCCGGGGGGGGATAGTCACCAACCTTCCCCCCCCCCGGGGGGTGGGGGGGGGGGGGGGGGGTTGATGGAACCCTCCCCGGAGCTTTTGATATGTTGCAGTATTTCAAAATGATTTTGCCTTCAGTGGAAAGCCTTTGATGTTCTAAACAAGATAAGGTATATTTTTTAGGTGATGGCGTTGCTAGAGGCCTGTGACCTCACCAATAATGGTCGCCATCTTGGATTTTACCAAGAATTAGAAAGCAGGTTAAAACTACGATGAACGATAAATGGTAATTTTTTTGTGCTTGACATGTAAAATAACACAAAAATAAGCAATCACCGCCCTCTTGTACGTCCGAGGGTTAAAGAAGCGCGATTAGTATAGCTTTTACAAGATACACCATTCTCTGTTCAAAGAAATAATTCCATTTTACGTACTTATACATAACTCTTCCTTACATTTCAGTAAGCAGTCATTATGGATTCGGACTGATGGATGCTCGTGATATAACTAAATATGCTAAGAAATGGCACTCCGTGTCTCGTGAGCAGCTGTCATGTGAGGTCAAACTCAATGTCTCAGAAGTCAAGTAACTGTCCACATTTTTCATTTTGCCAGTTAATTCATGTATTTACAAATCATGTTAAGTTCATGTATAAATTTCATGTACAGTGAAACCTCTTTTTTGGTACACCCCTATTCAAGGGACATTACTCTATTGAAGGGGAAGGGACACTTATTTTAGGTCCCGAAACCTGTGTTTAATCTCCTTTTAGGGGACACCTTAGCACTCGTGACTGACCACCAGAGACCACTAAAAGCCCCCCAAAAATAGGGTTCACAAGTTTAAAGACGCACTACTGATACCGGCCTTTCCCAGGAGTAACTTTCTTACTTTTAAAATCGTTGTACTGCACACGTGGGAACTCAGCAGACAATATCGCAGGGATGAGTTGATCATGACTTTTTTATGCCTTATCTATGCGCTTGAAATAATCATTTCAATTCTGCTTGATTGGTTGGTTATTTATTAACAAACCCCGGCCCAACCTCTCTTCAGGGAAGACCTCTGAGGCACCTTGCATTGGCCCCAAGGGTTTCCCCTGCATAGAGGTTCTACTGCATTTAACTGCCTTCTTAAATTTGTTTTCATAGTCTATTGATTGCGCGTGAGCACTGTTTGGAATTATCCAATTGGATGAGCTTATAGAGCTTGGGCCACCTGTGCTCGATTCTGAATAATTTTGCTTTGCAAATAACAAAATTGGGCTTTAGGCACTTATTCCATTGAGATACATGGATTTATGAAAACCGGGTTAGCAAACATTTTTCAATTTCTCTCAACTTCCTCTGCTTTAGCTTATTTACAGTATTGTTTTCTGATGTCCTTCTTTGGTTGTTTTATGGTTAGGGATTTGTGTAGAAGTGGTTGTAGAGGGAATTTTGCGAATTCGGGTTCTCTCTAACCCCCCCTACCTCCCTCTCTAGAGGGTTTATCTCGTTCCTCAGTGCGCGCCTAAAGCTAGTTACTAGTCACCTAATGAGAAATGGGACAAAGTTAATACGATTCACAGAGTCTGCATCATCCAATATCGTATTGTGTTCTCGTTTCATTTAGCTAAACAGATCAATCACCCTGATCCGGGCTGAGAAAGAAAAGTACAATGTTGTTTGCTTTACCAAGGTCACCACTAAATCTTTGGCTTCGGGAACAGGCTTCTAGGAGTCCCGTCGTATCTATTAGGCGAAAGCAAATTTGCTGGTGAACTTTGACCCAGGCCAGAACTCATTTTCTGGTGTGAAAACAGAGTCTATGCTGGTCTGCTGATTTCGCTTGTGTTAAACGTGAGAAAATTATGCGTGGTTGTGGATAGTGTTATCAGTGCCGTGAAAGTGTGTGATTGTGTTAT